GAGGTTCACCTAGTTGTTCCCTCATTGTCTATTCATCTCTTCATACTGAGGAAAGAAATTGAAGTCATCTACATGAGAGTTAAAATCACATTATCTTTCGTTGAAGCCCACATCTCGACTAATCACAATCTTCTTATTGTCTGGATTATACAGCTTGTAGCATTTCGAATTAGCATCATAGCCGATGAAGATAAAACTCTCACTTGTTATCATCAAGCTTCGTTATTCTCTCGTCTGGTACGTGAACATGGGCTATACTTCCAAAGATTCTCAAGTGGGAAATGTCAGGCTTTCATCCACTCCATGCCACTTGCAGTGTATTTCCCCATACACTTCTTGTTGGAGATCGGTTTGTCAAGTAGACTTCACACGCTACTGCTTCCGTCCAAAATTCCTTGGGTAGTTTCTTACTATTGAGCATGCTTCGTGCCATGTCGAAGATTGTTATGTTCTTTCTTTTTGTCACACAATTTTGTTGTGGGGATCTAGGAATTGTCATTGGTCGACGAATTCTATTTGCTTCACAGAACTTTTGAAACTCACTGGTAGTAAATTCTCCACCTCGGTCGGATCTCATGGTTTTGATCTTTCTACCGCTTTCTCTCTCCACTGCTGCTTTGAACTTCTTGAAGACTTCGAAAACTTCTGACTTATGTTTCAAGAAATATACCCAGGTTTTCTTGAAAAATCATCAATGAAGAGAAGAAAATAGTTATTGTTACCGAGAGAGCTTGACTTGATCGGTCCATACACATCAGTATGGATGAGCTCAAGTGGCTTTTTGGCTCTTGTCTCTGACTCATTTGGAAAACTTTTCCTGAATTGTGTCCCGACTAGACACCCTTCACAAAGTTGGTCAAGATGGTTGATGTAAGGTAGTCCCTTCACCATCTCGTTCTTAGATAATAGCTCTAGACCTCCAAAATTGAGATGCCCAAATCGAAGATGCAAAAGCCATGATGCATCTTTGTAGCGAGCTTTCAGGTACTTTGCAACATCATTTTGTATGTTGATCAATAACATTCTATTCTTTGACATCGACACTTTTGCAATGAAGTTATTGTTATCATCTTTTATAGAAATATTATAATTATTCATATGAATATCATAATCTTTCTCTACCAGTTGCCCTAAACTTAAGATGTTAATTTTCATATTAGGCACATAGTAGACATTGGAAATAAAATAATGTCTCCCATCTTTCAAACGGATAAGGATGTTACCTCTCCCTTTCACTGCTATTGCGGAATCATCTCCAAACGAAACATTTCAGCTTACTGACTCGTCTAGCTTCACGAACATGTATTTCATTCCACAAATGTGATTGCTTGCACAACTGTCAAGATACCAAGAATTTGCTTGGCCACCATTAGTTTCCTTTCGTGCTAGAAGAAGAGTTTCTTTGCCATCTGTTTTTTCCTCCACGTAATTGGTCTTCTCCTCAATTTTTTTGTTGGGAGCTCTACATTCTGAAGCATAATGCCCAAACTTCTAACAATTATAACATCGAACTTGAGATTTGTCATACTTTGATTTGGATTGATTCTTCCACGGCCTCGTGTTGAGTATTCTCCTTTCTTATAGTTGTTGTTGGAATTGTTATTGTTGTAATTCCAGCCTCGTCCACGACGGCGACTTCCACCTCGTCCATGGCCTTTACCTCTGCCTAGGCCACGTTTGTTTCTATAATTGCGTTGGCTTTCATGCATATCTTTGAGTTGCAGCTTGAGGAGTTACTCAGTAAACCCATGCTTCTTCTTATACTTCTCTTCGTATGCTTACAATGATCCTTGGAGTTACTCGATCGTCATTTATTCTAAGTCTTTAGTTTCTTTAATCGTCACGACGATGTGCTCAAATTTGGGATCCAACGAACTGAGTATACTCTCTATTATCCTCACATCTTCTAACTTTTCACCATTTTTTTAATTGATTAGAAACAGCTACTACTCTTGAGAAATAATCTAAAATAGAATCAGATGCTTTCATGTGTAAGGATTCAAATTCACCTCTTAATGTTAGGAGACAGACCTTCTTCACTTGCTCTGATCCTTTGTAAGAGGTTTGCAGCTTCTCCCACACTTTCTTGCTAGAGCTTGCACTCGAAATCTTTTCAAAACTATCGTCATCTAATGCTTGATAGATGAGGTAGAGAGCCTTTTTGTCTCTTTTTCTTGAATCCTTCAAAGTTATCTTTTGATCAGGTGTAAGAACAACAAAAACATCATCATCTGTAGGCTCGTTATAGCATTTCTCTTTGATATCCCACACATCTTGTGATCCAAGAAGTGTCTTCATTTTGATACTCCAGTTGTCGTAGTTGTTGTTGAGTGTCAGAACTTGTAATGGTGTCATACCATTTGCCATATCTCTCAATATAATGAGAATTTGCAAAATCTGATTGCACGGATGAATCCGGAACGCCGAAAAACCTTGGGAGAGACTTGGACGACTCGGTCAATGGGCTCCAACTCGTTGACTCGACTCAACTCGATGAGTCAACTTGATTTTCTAGCAGCAGTCTTCCGGCAGTGCGTCAAAACTCAGATTGTGAAGATTATGGCGGCGACAGATTCCTCATAATCTCCGACATCTATTAATACATGTTACCTATCTTCATCCTAAATCAAATCAAAACAGCCTTCTAAATCATGTCGCTTTGCGACTCAAAATCTTGTTCACATTGAAAAAGCAGTGCCAGCAACTCCTTCAACGGAGTCAGCGCCTGTGCTTTGTGGCCATACGGCAATAACACCGGCAACCGAGGTGCTTATAAAGTTTAAAAAACAGTGGTCAGAGGCGGCTCACCCACGAAATTTGGCCAGTCTATAATTTTCGAAAATTTTAAACAAATCTCTTTAAATTATAAAGTACACAAAAAGGTACTTTAACTATAATACGTTACTTTGGTTGAATTTTTTTACTATTAAAAGTTTTAAAATAATTTTAATTATAAGATGTTATTTTGTTGATTCATCGACTATTAAAATTTATAAAATAGATATCTAATTCAGACAAGCATCAAACTTTTAATGAATAAAGCACGGTTTTAGAAAATCTGAATAGTTGGGTGACTATTTTATAATTTTTAATAGTCGGTGAACTCAATAAAATAACATTTTATAGTCGAACAACCATTATGCATAATTTAATAGTCAGTAAACTCAACAAAATAATATCCTATGATCGGGAAATTATTTATATACTTTACCCTAAATTAAATTACCAAAATTCATCAATAGTGACTAACGTCAATTGTGTGAATCAACTAACAGTCAACCTTATGAGCTGTGTCAAAATGAGACCCATTTGACTAAAGAGTTAAGTTTTTGTTGTTGGTGAGGAGTGAAAGACCAAATCCAAATTTTGGAAATATTGGTAAGTTGGGGACAGCTTATCTTCGGAAAATATTCAAACTGTAGGGCCTTTGTCTTCGCGCTTCACAGGCATGTGCAGTGTGCACTTACATTCAACGACGTGCCTGTCTATCACACTTCACACAACCTTACCTCGTAATGTGACTCTAATTTAACCATCCGCCCGCCTTATCCATCTCTGATTTTTACTGTAGGGCCTTTGTCTTCACGCTTCACAGGCATGTGCTTGTACTTTTCTTTATTAAGTGTCAATCATCTCATATATAACTATTTTAGAGTAAAATATATAAATCATCCCTGATTATAAGGTATTAAAAGTAATTGAATATATTTTCGTACGAGCGTTAGGATTGGGCATAAATATTATTCAATTCCCTTACATGATTAGCACAGTCGCCTGCAGAGATTATCCAATAATAACCGGCCAACGGACAATCTGTCTTTCACCATCAGGTGACGCGATCACCACTCAGTCACCAACGCTCGTAATTAATTATCATCAACGAAAATCATAAACGCCAATTACAAAAATATTATATAAAAAAAGGACAAACAAGCAAAAAAAAAAAAAAAAAAAAGAAAGACCAGTCTACGGTGGCAGAACCGTGATTAAGAAAATAAGTCAAGGGCAATATCTAAGATGTTCACTCTTTATTGGCCCAAAAAAGACAAAAAGCAGGTTACCCAGCAAATAAAATGTTGAATAAAAATACTATTTATTTATTTAGAGAGGTTTTAATTTTAAAATATTTTATTAAAATAGCATAAGTTTAAAATAGGTGGGCTCGCCAACTCCAACTTTCCAGCTTTAAATGGGAATACACAAATAAATATTTGGGTAAACTATCATTTTTATTCTGTTTTAATACTTAAATTTTTATTTAGGTAAACCCTAAACCTTTACTTTTGGAATGGCCACTTTCTCATCAAACTTTAAAACATCGACACTGTCCTGTTCCTCATAGCACAACCATCAATTTGATTGCTTCAATTGTAGAAGTGGCTTGAGAACTCGCACTGACCCTTAGTGAAAATCGAGCAAAAGAAGGCGATGAATTGCCCTTTGGGATAAAGGTGGTGCTCAATGATTTCCTTATGGTTTCCGGGAAAGCTAACGAGGGTTTGAAAGAAAGTGACGGAAGAGAAGGGAAGGATTGAAGATAGGGTGTAAGAAGTGTGGCTCTCATATTTTTCCAATCCCCTTCAAGTCGTTAACATACGCATGGAAAATTGAAAACATGAAAGAACTCCACTTTAGTTTTTCTATTAAGTTTTTAACAATGAGGTATTAAAACGAAATAAAAACTAAATATTAGTTATAATTTTGAAAAAATGAAAGTTTAAGTACTAAAATAGGATAAAAGTAATAATTTAGGTATTAAACCTATTGTTTACCCTGAATATTTTAAGAAAGCTATTAACTTTACTTTTTCTCCCTATTTCACATATATTTTTTGACTAAATTACAATTTTATCCCATTTTTAATTCAATTCCCCCCCCTACCGGATGTCAAATCCCTTCTTAACCAGATTTTATATGTAGGAGCTTATCAATTTTACCAACTAATTATATTTATTAAGATTTTTTTCAGCCTTAATTTCACTTCTTTCTGTGTAAAAAAGTCTGATCAGACAAGGAAAATAAAAGAACCGGCCAGCGGTTTTCTGAAACCCCGTGTTTTTTTGTTTTGTTTTTCGTTTTAATCTCCGGGAAACAGGTTATTTTCTTTTTCTTCGAAAAAAAATTGGAAAAGAAATTTATGTTTGGCTGGATAGAAAAAGCTTTTGAAGTACTTTGCTTCGGTATAGGAAAATGTGAACAGATCTGAGGAACAGTGTAAGAGGAGAGTTCTTTCCGGGCTGTGTATTTGGAAGTTACAGGTCATGATCTCGACATTTAACATCGTTTAACTTGGAAATTTGTTTTTTCTGTTAAAAAAATCCCTGCTTTAATGTTGTCATGCTTAACTATCAGTTTTTTTCTAGGTTGATTAGATAATTATTTATTTCACAGTAAATTTTAATTTTGTGTTAAGGGGCTGATCATGATGACTAAACTGAAAGCTGAGCATTTTTTCCTTTTTCAAAGTATCTATCTTGACTACAACTTACAATAAAATTTTAGCTTCTAAATCTGTTTACTTTCTTTTGTGTGTGTGTGTGTGTGTGTGTGAAGTTTAATGTATTTCGAAGTTGTAATGATCTTTGTTTCATCTGCAAGTGAAAGATAACTATGAGGACATTGTATTTTTTGTTAGTTTTCTGGTTTTTGATTGGTGGATTTCTGTTTTGTAGTTGACTGACTTCGAGTTTCTGTTAAGTATAATTTAATATTTGCATGGACAAAAATCCGGGTGTTACAGTAATAGGAGCAGAAGCTCCTTCGGCTTATCAAATGGCGCCGAGAACCGAAAATGCCAACCAGAATGGCAGTGTCTCGACAGCGGTGGATGTTACACCAGTTAGTGTAGGGTTAACTGGTAGCATAGAAAAGAAAAAGAGAGGTAGACCTAGGAAATACGGGCCCGACGGGATGATGGCGAGGGCATTGTCGCCCATGCCTATTTCCTCGTCTGCCCCACTCGGCGAGTTCTCGAGTAATGGCGGAAAGCGCGGGAGAGGGCGAGGTAGCGGGTACCATATTAAGCATCACAAGGGACTGGACATGGAGAATTTAGGTAATAAGCCCTTTTAGCATGCTGTTGTCTTAGTTGAACTCGATCTTGTTATAGTTTTGGTAGCAGATAGTAATGTTTCTGGTTCGAGACTAAGAACAATTAGTCGTGCACTAGTGTTTCGAAACAGGTCACCTAGTGGATTCGGAATTTTCCGAATGCCGTTTTGAAAGATCCTATATCTGAAGTTGGTAATACTTGTTGAACTATACCCCAAAAATATTAAAAGTTCAGATCTGGAAGGATATTTCTGGTTTCTGCTAACGAAAAAGTTGTCTTTTCTTGTGCATGTATGAGGTTTGAGGAATATTCTTCTGGTATCGTAGATTTCTTTTCATCAATGATTTTTTGAGACGCTCTCTCTGTTAGTAATGTCTGGTTGAAGGGGCTTTGTCGTAGAAATCCGTTGTTTGAAATCATGCCAATCTCAACCATGTAGTAGATCTATGTTTGCTTGACAAACAGGGTAAAGTGTATGTCATCCGTAATTTATTCATTTCACCTAACAGTGAAATTCCTTATTTCCTATAGGTGAATGGGCTGCTTCTTCGACTGTCGGGGCGAATTTTATTCCTCATGTTATCACGGTCAATGCCGGTGAGGTAAGTTTCGATATGGGAAAGACAGAAGAACATTCTTATGCATCATTTCTATCATTGTCAGACTTATGTAGACTTTCTGCGTCCATCCTTTTTTGTGGCTGATACTAGTGATCTTTCCCTTGGCTCATATCTTATTTTTGTGGTGTTCGAAGGATGTTACGATGAAGGTAATTTCGTTTTCTCAACAAGGACCGAGAGCTATCTGCATCATATCTGCTAATGGAGTAATTTCAAATGTTACACTTCGTCAGCCCGATTCTTCTGGGGGCACTCTGACGTACGAGGTTAGGTGATTTTGAAATTACAATACATTTCGATATATACCGAGTTACATTGTTTTGTTCTTTTGGTCCTTGATATAGGGTCGCTTCGAGATACTTTCCTTGTCCGGGTTCTTCATGCCTACAGAAACTCAAGGAACAAGAAGCCGATCCGGCGGGATGAGTGTATCTTTGGCAAGCGCTGATGGCCGTGTTGTAGGAGGAGGAGTTGCTGGCCTTCTGATAGCTGCCAGTGCTGTACAGGTAAAGCCTTTAAGTGCAATTTTCCTTCCACCTTTTAGAAGCGATCATTGATCGTCTACTGGCCCTCGTACTAGTAGTCCGAGACCCCGAGCAATATGAACATCTAATTAAACATGCCGAACCTTGTACTCTGAGAAAAATACATAAGATATCTTTCAAAATGAATCTGGGTCTCGAACTCATTGTTTAATCTTGTGTGTTATCAGGTTGTGGTGGGCAGCTTCTTACCGGGAAACCAGAATGACCATAAACCCAAGAAGCAGAAAATTGAGTCCATCCCAGCGACTGTTGCGCTGAACCCAAGCATTGTCGCTGCACCGGCCTCCAATGCCGAAAAAGAGGATGTCATAGATGTAGTTTCGCCCCAACAAAATTCCAATGCCCTGAAACCAAACCTCGCTACTGCCACCTTCCATAGAGAAAATTGGGCGACCGCCAATCAAGATCCAAGGAATTCGGCAACCGATATCAACATTTCTTCGCCTGCAGGTTAATCCGATAAAATTACATTCGATCATCTTGGACTCGTGAGGCGGAGTAGATTAAAAGCCCCTGATATTTCTTTCATCAAAGAGTAGAGAGTGTTAATGTGTTGTCGAATGTTTTAATGTAGGATAAAGTAGGGTTTAACATTCCTCCTGATAGATATCCAGCTACGTTTTAGTGTCTCGGGCAAAGACATACATTGGTTTTTTCTTCTTTACCCTGATTGATGAGAACTGCCCTAGATCCTCGATGATCTCCAAGTTATGTAGTGAAATTTTCACCAGTTTTATTTGATCTGCTTTCATTGATCCTTCAACAAAATGATTGTTAAATTCTGATAAACATGTTACCGGCAAGTGCTGGTGTATTGATAAAAAGTCTTGGGATTATTACAATGGGTAATATATGTTCAGAATCTTAACCACTGATATGACTATGGTATGTTATTTAATTAATAAGAATCATGTTATGAATATGATCTTTTTAAAATGTTATTAAGCATGCCATTTGCTATTTGATGATTTGAATTGTTAATTATGATTCTGTTCTAATTGCTTATATATTTTATGATTATTGTTAGCGTGTGATTAATTTTTCATGCAAAAGAATTCCGAGAGGAGTTTGTGAAGTTGAACCGATTAAAGAATCAGTAAGAATTTCATGATACCAAATCACGAGTATTAGTATTAATAACTAGCTTATGATATATATACCTATCGATACTATTGTTCATTTTACGGTTAGTTTTAAAACATCGAAGTTAAAAGCGATATTGATATATTTAAAATGTATCGATACATGTAGAGAACTTTTGAAAATTTTAATTATTACCCCAAAGCTTCCTAGTTTTGTAAAAAGGTCCATACAATTCAAAATTGACTTAGAATTGATACTTTCGAATTTTGATTTGGTACAATTACATTTTTGTCATGCTGCTTGTATTACTTACAATAACACCCTTGCATGTTTGAATATGCCACGAAAGTTTTTAGAAGTTTCAGTTTTGTTTCTACTTCGACTCTTGTATGTGACGTCTCCTGTCCGTGCATGACTTTCGTGCCGCGTAAGGAGTGTCTCTCAAGTTCCAGCCGGACTTCACCCTAATTGTTGCATTCATATTCATAAAAAAGTTGTAACAAAAGAAACCCTCATACACTGCTTCTGCACCTCAATTCACATGGAAAATTGTATCAGGTGAATGAAATGTTGCAGCGAACTGAAAGAACAAGGGCCAAGGGTCAAATTGAAAGAAAATAACCAAATTTACGTATTAAACCTAGGCCAAAAGCCTGTGTTTAATAATTATCAGTTCCTACGGTCCAAATCAACCTGAAACACATTTAAAGAAGAGACTTGATTGTTTGATAAATAAATAAATAAAAAGAAAATGTATTTTGTGGGGATAATTACCAAAAGATAAAAACAAAAAAAAGCATAGAAAGATAGCCAAGTTTGATAAGTCGTTGCTTCTTTTCCCAGTTAAGCTGATTAAATATCTCTGTTACATCAACTAAATGTTTTCTCCTCCTATACCTGTTGATTCAATCATCATTAATGGTAATAATTAAGGATTAATGGAGAAAAACATGGCGTGTTAGAAAACTTACAAACTGAAATTATAGTATAAATATGGGAGAGACAGGAAACAAAGGAGATAATGTCCTGTGATTAAACAGGCTAAACAGAAAACGGCTTGGATTATGAACTCCGGCACCACGAATTTGTTTATCCGTGCCGCGGAATCGTAATGATTGATGTAATCGATTTCCAAATCAATAAGACATATGAGCTGCAATGTTACATGAATTAAAACCATTATTACCAAGTTAATGTATTAATGATGAAGAATGGGAATAAAGAAGGGATTGACCTGATAACAGATAATGGAGAGGAGAGAGATGAGGAAGAAGAAGGTCACGAGCCATCCTAACAGATTCCCCATGCCCAACTTCTTCCTATCCATACCTCTATCTTTCTGTGCTTTGTTTTGTTTTAACATATATATATATATTATTAATTTCTGAATCAATTTCCATGCCGCCAATAGGGGATATTGTTGCCATTGGCTGAGAATAAAGAGCTTATGAAACAAAGATTATTCAGCCACTGGTTATAGATGTATATATTTTAAATGTCAAATTAATGACAATTAATCACGTTTGTGTTTTACTAACGAAGAAACTATTTTATTTTTGGTTTGGGTTTACACAATTTCTCTCCCTTCTTTTAAAGAATGAAAACTCGATAACTTTAAATTATTTATATTATCGGGTTAAAATGATAAATTATTTTATCTGAGATAAATATAAGTACATTTTATTTGTTTATATATATATATATATATATATATATATGATCAAGAATTGTCAGTTTATTAATTGAGATAGGACATTATAAAATTATATTATGAGACGATTTTTTTAATCTAATTTATCGTATTTATAAAAGTTGCTCTCTCGTTACCTTACTTTCAATACTGAATTTTTTGTGATAACTTTCCACGATCCATTGTAGAATTTCACCAAAAATATTAAAATTCTATTAATTTATTATACATTATTTCTAGAAGATGATCATCTATATACAAATATCTTAAAGGATCCATAATCATGGAGTTACCAAACTTGACCGGAGGCTTCTGGAACATTATTCTACATTCATAATTTAGGCTCATAAGACTTTATTTTATTATTCTTGAATGTATAATGTGGTATATGATGCTTAATTTTATATAATCATGTGCACAATTTTTTTCATTCAACATTTAGTAATTGTATGGAAAAAAATTAAATTTGTAAAAAATTATTAGATATTTTTCTTTTAAATTTATATAATATTTTAAAAAAACTTCATCATAAAAAAAATTTTTTATATATAATTATAAAAAATAAAAATTCACATATGATATTATAAATTAGATTAACATTTATGTATAATTTTTAAAATTTTCGCATAAAGAATAATGTGAAAAATTAGAAATTGGGCCTATTTTGGGCTGAGGAGATGTTTATACGAGTCTGGCTTGGATTGGACCTGCCACACCTCGTCCGAAAGAGTAGAAATGAGGGTATAAGTCGGAACAATCAAAATAAGAATTATAATGTAACAAATAAATAAGGGTAAAGTACACAAATGGTCCCCCGTCTATAGAAAACTGTTTTATTGACTCCTTCAACTATTAAAAGTTATAAAATGGTCATTCAACTATAGGATGCTATTTTTGTTGAGTGTCTCGACTATTAAAAGTTATAAAATGATCACTCGACTATTCATATGCGTCAAACTCGTCTTTTCCTTTAAAAATTGACAATCGTCTGAACTGGACGTGAACATGCTGGTTGAGATATGCTAAAATCATATTTTAACGATTTATAATAGTATCGTCGTTGCTTTCAAGCACTGGCTCGATAGCATAATATAAATAGAGAGTTGATCCATAAAATATAACTCATACGATTCTAAGATAAGATTTTATCACATCTCAATCAATAGGTTAACGTCCAGCTTAGAGAACCGTCAAATTTTTAACAGAAAATGACAAGTTAAAATATATAAATATTTGGATGACTATTTTGTAACTTTTAATAGTCAGAAGACTTAATAAAATAATACTCTATAGTTGGGGGATCATTTGCGTATTTACCCAATAAATAATAAGAAATATAATGTAAGAAATTGTATTTATGGATTTTTATATTTTTCTATAATTTGTGAAAAATATGATTTTTTTAAATTTAAAGATTAATTTAAATTTTGTGAACAGAGATCATTTAAAAAAAGTTACAGTGACCCACTCAATATATATATTAATTTGTAAATTGGTTTCTTAGATATTTAAATTGTAATAATATTATGGGTAAACTGCACGTTTAGTACTCTAATTATCATTTTTATTTTATTTTAGTCACTCAATTATTTTTTTTATAATTATACTTAACGTTCAGTTTAATTTCATTTTGATCACTTACTGTTAAAAAAATTAATAAAAGTGTTGACATTATATTTTTTATTTTTCAATAATGACATATATTATTTTATGATGACACGTTAATATTATTATCAATATTTTTAACATAAATGACCAAAATAAAATCAAAATTACACGTTAGATATCATTGTATAACTTATTACGAAATAAAAGTAATATCTAAGATACTAAACACATGTACATGGTTTACGCTAATAAAATTTGTTTCGGAAAAAAACATATTTAAATTGATTAAAAAACTGAAAATTAACTAAAAACTTGAAACACTGTTCAAATCCCATAAATTCTAGCTACACGCGAGACTTTCCCCTTACAGGATTTTGTAGGGGAAAAAATCTTTGGAAAAAAAAAGACGCTTTTCTTTTTATTGTTTCACTTCCATCCCTGTTTCCTTATCGACTGTTCCCAATTGGAAAACCACGGCTTGCTTCATCCTCTGAGTCGTTTAGGCGACCTTAATTACGAATCCAGCTCTTAATACTCACAAGCAGTGTTAGAAAAAAGATACACAAGTCTCAACTTTTTTGACTTATTTGTTAGCTTGGGTATTATGCACAGATCTGGAGCAACGATGGCTTGGAACGTGTTCAAGTTTTGCACGGCTCTCAGGGGTCTGGGCTCGATAATGATCCTCTTGGTTCTAGGGATCGTGGGTGTCACTTATTACTCTGTCGTTTTGACTATTTATGGCCCAGCTTTATTCGATGGTGGCTTTGGTTCTCTTACTGCTGCTGTTATCTTGCTCTTGTTTCATTGTTTCGTAAGTCCCCCCCCCCCAAATGAATCTTCTTTTGTTTCTTTGATACTTCTTGTTACTTGGGTTCTCTTAGGCTTTGCATGTTTGGCCTCTGAATTAGACATCTTGAAATTTAACTAAGAAAGACTGACTTTTTGTTAAAATTATTGAAATTGGTTTTGAAAAGATCCAAACTTGAGTTTTGCGTTTGTTTATTTATTAGTCAATGATCTTTCTAGATCTTAATTTTTCTTTCTTTTCGCCTTAGTTGTTGTGAATTCTTACATTTTTCATATTTAGAAAGGAAAAATCTGAAGTATTTTTAGAATAAAAGGCTCCATTTAGGACCTTTTTCTATATTTGGTTTCTGGGATTGTTTAATGTAATCACATTGCTAAAGGAATGAAAAATAATAGATGATTTAATTGTATTGTGGAACTAATTATAGATGTTGGTACTTTCGATGTGGTTCTGCAGCTGGTGATGCTGTTATGGAGTTACTTTTCTGTTGTTTTGACGGATCCGGGTGGCGTGCCACCTAACTGGAGGCCAGCTATGGATGAGGAGAGAGGGGAGGTTGACCCGTTGAACGGTTTGGAGTTTGACAGTTCGCAGCCAGACACATTAAATCAAAGAATTCGATATTGTTGGAAATGCAACCAGCTGAAACCACCTCGCTGCCATCATTGTTCTGTTTGTGCGTTCTCCATACACCCAAGTTCTACGTTTCTTTTTCCTAATTTGCTAATAATGTTGTAATTGTCGATGACCAGTTGCATATCTATATCATTGTTTCAGGTGGGCGGTGTGTGCTAAAGATGGATCATCATTGTGTGTGGGTTGTGAATTGTGTTGGTGCACAAAATTACAAGTATTTCCTGCTTTTCTTGGTATGTTTGCTTTATTTTCGAATCAGTTTTCTTTTCTATACATTTTATGCTTTTGAAGTTTCACCTTTAGCTTCAAGAAGTTCCTATTTTCAAGTCTCTTCCGGAAATATAAATTAAGTTGTGGAGTGTTTCTTTTATAAAAGCATAAAACGAGCTTCGGTTTTCTTGGCATTACTTTGACTATGTATTCGAACATAAATGCAGTTTTACACATTCCTCGAGACCACTCTTGTGACTTTGGCCTTGTTGCCACATTTATTAGCATTCTTCAGTGATGGAGAAGTCCCTGGAAGCCCCGGCACCCTTGCTACCACTTTCCTTTCCTTTGGTATGGACTGTTTGGAATTATTTTCTGATCTGATTAGCTTCTGTGACTACCTAGAAATGTGTGACCATGTTCTCTTGTTACAGTTTTGAATTTGGCATTTGCATTGAGCGTCTTGGGGTTTTTGATCATGCACATATCTTTGGTGGCAGCTAATACCACAACTATTGAGGTACTGTTATATTCTCGTCATCTCGAAGTGTAATCTCATGTCATACTAGTTGGTACTAGTTGGTTCTTCTGGCATTTGTCATTATTTATTATTTTAGAATTTAGTACCATTTCGTAATACGAGTAGACATGCAAAACCGTTATTGTGATTAACCGAATCGTTCTTGTCCTAAAGAGGGAGAAAAAGAAGCATTAATGTTCGGAGGAACTTATATATCATAACAGATTAACCGGATATCGTCAATACAAATTTAGGGACACCTGTTAGCTAATCTTTAAGAATGCTGCACAAGTTACTGATAAAATCTGTGTCTGTCTTCGAAACAGGCATACGAGAAGAAAACCACTCCAAAATGGTGTTATGACCTTGGTCGGAAGGAAAATTTTGAACAGGTTAACTGTTTCTACAAATACATTGCTCTTTTCCCTTATGCGTATTTCTTGCATCGAAGAAAAAAAGGGAAGCATTGATAGTATTTGGTCTTGTAGCTGGCTTTTTGTGCGTACTAACTGTTGTCTGTTTACTAAGTTTTGGTGGTGTTGGTCTATATATAGGTGTTTGGAACCGACAAGCGATACTGGTTCATTCCGGGTTATTCAGAGGAGGATTTACGACGGATACCAGCACTTCAGGGTCTTGAATATCCATCAAAGCCTGATTTTGATTCCCAGGAGTTCTAAAATAGAAACCTCCACGGCCAGGAGACTTTTCTCCTCACGGTTGATACAGAAGCCTCGCCGGTTGCTCCCTTTATTAGGTATATCACACTTGGCGTCGGGTTTCGTCTTCTAACTGTTCATTCCCACAGGCATCTTCACGTATATATTACAGTCGATCGAGAGAGAGAGAGAGAGAATATCAAGCATGGTTAAAATGGTGGAGGGGTGATGGCCTGACAGATCTTATAGTAATTTTATGTTATTTTCTGATTGTATTGGCGGAGCAGTAGGCTTAGGTTGTGGAATGTTGTTATGGTTATTGTAGATTTGTTGTGACGTACATACTGATTTGAAGGGAATATAGAGATTGCTTTTGGTGTTTCTTCTTTTTGGTCATTTCCTATTATGTAGTTACAAGGATTTTGATCATATTAGGACTTAAAGTCTATTATATTAGATTTTCTTAATGAAAACATTAGTATGTGTTTGGTCTCTCTTCAAATCTATTCGTCACATTAAAAACCATCATTTTTATTTACATTTTCTATATAAGTCTTGGAGGAATACAAAGGTAATATTTATTTAAAGATTCTCTTTTAAATATATCAAAAGTATTTATATTATTTTAAAATTGATTTTTCATACTATTTTTATTTAAAATTTTTGGTACATCCTCTAATCATTTTTCAATTTTATAATTAGTCGTTGAACTAAAAGTTAGAATAAAAAAATCAGAATCCAAAATAAATATCGTAATATCCCCTCTCTAGAGATATAGATAAATAATTACTGTAATGGTTATATATATTTTCAATTATATTTTTAAATTATCAAATAAAAGTAGAAAATAATATTCATATCAAGTTAAATAGGATGATTTTTACTAAGGTTCGAGATAAATTCAAATTAATAAATGTCAGATAAATTTTTCTAGGCTCTTTCTATATATCTATCACGTTTTCATAATTTCAATTAATAAAAAGTAATTATTTTTATATTATTAATTTAATTGTAATTATTTTTCAAGATGAATAAAACCGGAACATTCCAGCTTTAGCTTGCATATGAAAAATTGGGATTACGTGTCTCCTTCTCGAACGTGCTTGTTAATTCCCCCGAAATCAATGGAGGGGAGAGCAATTTTGGCCACCACACAGAAAGAAAAACAAGGACCCTAAACATCCTCCCGCTTCATTTCAAATCCACCTGCTAATCATCTATTCTTTCACCTTCTATCTTGATTCCGCATCGACAAGTGGGTTATTCAGGTCGGTTCTACATTTGCTATTGTCTGTGTTTTTCTTTTTTCAATCAATTGTATGCAATTTCTTGTGCATTACCTTAAGCTGAATTCCGATTCCATCTTTTGAAACTTGCTATGTTGTTTTCTTCAGACTTGCATACAAAATGCAGAGGGGAAGAGAAGGCAAAAGGGACCTCTTCGATGCGGGCGACCCATTTGATGCCATCCAGAGGTTGGGAAGCTTTGGATCCCGTGAAACTATGATGTCCGGCCTCTTTGGAGGCAGAGATCCTTTCGATGATCCCTTCTTCACTCGTCCCTTCGATAGCATGTTCGAACCTAGCATCTTCGGTCCAAGTACTCCATCTCGTGAAGCACCACCCAAGGGCGATGGAGGAAAGGGAATACTTATAGAAGAATTGAACTCCGATGAGGAAAATAGAGAAAGTGTTAAAGGTATCACTAAGCATGTCGGGTCTGGAAAGGAACCATCTATCGAGCACCCGGATGATAGCGATGACGGTAAATTGAATTTAAATTTGGATCGGTGCATTTGTTTAATTAATATCTGTATTTTTTGTGAGTTGCAATGATTGTTGTTGCATATTTATCAGATGGGAAGATTCAGAGTGTTAATTATAGAAATGAGAATGACAGCCACAGGGTGAAAGGCTCAAAGTTACAGGCTCGTAGTTATAGTTTCCAGACTTCAAGAGTTACATATGGAGGTGTAGATGGAACTTATTACACTTCTACGAAAAACAGGAAGACGGGCAGCGATGGAGTGAGTAACTTTTTTTTTCCGAGGAGTGATCGATTATGGTTCAAATGCTTATTGTATTCGATATCGGTGTTGGTTGTTTCAGGTGGTGATTGAGGAGAGAAAAGAAGCAGATACAACAACGGGTCAAGCAACACATAGTATTTCTAGAGGAATTCATGATAAGGTAACTTTGTTCCATTGGTTTCTTGTGGAACAATTAATAAACGGGTCCAGGCTTAATGAATGCAGTTATACATGTCCAATATTTTACGAAATAACTGCAACTTTGGGTGTGTTCTTAAATTACATACCCTCAACAATTCATTGCGAACAGATTACGATCCGATTCCGAACCAAGTTGATTCGCAGTTATCTATTTAATTGTTGCTTTGCGACTTATTTTTATGGCCTACCTAAGAAACTGATGGTAATTTGCGCAGGGCTATTCTGTTACAAGGAAGCTGAATGAAGATGGTAAGGTGGACACAACAGAGACATTACACAACTTGAATGAAGGTGTGTTCCTTGGTTGCGTGTTGTGATTATTGAAGAACATTGTGCCTGAATGGAACTGTATTTTCGTATTGTGATTTTATTAGATGAACTTACGGAATTCGAAAAGGCTTGGAAAGGTAATGGTGATGGTCATTTGACTGGTTGGAGTGATGTATTTAGCAAGCCTGCTAATGCTGGTACACATTTCTTTTAACCTTCTATATAAAAGGTTTCATTTTAATGGATTTGGCAACATTCATTGTCATTCCATTTGACATCATTTCTTTCATTTTCTTTTTGAATGTCGAATTTGAATGTAGGATCTGTAAATAATGAACAGATGGGGTTGGCAGTGAAGGACAGTTGGAGACATCCATATAGAGAGCAGGGTGAAAAAGGTAGAAATCAAGGTGCAAACACTGGGGGTAGAACCAAGAAGGTCGTTAGGATTAATATAGAATGAACCAGGTGTGACCATACACCGGATATACCGTTTTGGTCCCGGCCCTATTGCTCATTGGGGTCTAGCAATATCACCAAAACATCGACCTTTTCTCAGTTAAGTTGAACCATCTATCATCCTGCTAGATATGTTTTTGTTTGGGAATTTCTGGTAAACAGCAGAGTACATAAACATTAGAAACTTTTCATTATTGAGTTGTTTTGCATTAACGCAAGGATTAATCCTTGGCTCTTTCTTGGTTGTGTAAAAGATTCTTGAATTGTTCTTCAATAAGATATTGACAATAGTTTCTGTTCTGTCGTCTACTCCGTTGTTTAGTAAAAAAAAATCAAAGCAAAAACCTCTGGCTTTATATAAAGAAAGATGAAATATTCCAATCTACTAAACATAAATTTCACACGCACGAATCTCAATTTCAAACCATAAGTGAACTAATTCTTTAACAGCAATAATAAGATGTAAAACAAAAAGTTTGAGTCCTGCTGGTCTACCCCGGAGAACAGTTCAAAATGCGAATTTTCTAGGCCACAAGGGTGCTGGCAGTGGTTGACTCGCTGGATAGAGGAAAAGAAAGTATACAAGTTAAAACCAATCTTAAGACAAGAGAGTAGAGTGTGACGGCAATAACCACACAAAAATGAGACAATTTTATCTAGTGTTAGCGTAGAAAGGCAGAAAGCCTCTGATCATTACTAATGAAGCAGGTAACAAGTACTCACTATTTCCACACAGGCGGTAATTTCTTTGTCTTCTTGTAATAACGGGCGAGGCGGTGGATCCTGCTCTCGACCAAGATCAACCTAAACTTGGAATCCTTGTCTTTCCGGTTCCTCTCGAGATGCTTTCTTATGGCAACGGCTTTCTTAATTAGGTGGTACAAATCCTCAGGTATTTCAGGAGCAAGACCTGACAAAGACAAATGGACGAGTTGAATGTCTGATGTTCCAATCTGAAGGAAAACGCAGTAACAGAAAATATCAAAATGAAGACGTGCCATGGGCTTTCAGTATCCGCAAAATCTTGCTGCCTGTAACACTCTTCACCTGAGCAATCCCATGAGAATCTCGGAGAATGACACCGATTTGAGATGGGGTCAAACCCTTCTTTGCAAACTTGCAAATGTTATCCTCCATCTAAAAGAAGAAATCGTGAGTAGGGTTTTTCAAATGCACATTACATGAGGAAGATTGAGTTAACCATTACTATTACTCCATCCAGTCCAACACTAAAATTTCCAACTAGAATGATGGGCATTTGCGGGACACAGAAACCAAAATAATATCTTCTAATAAGCAGGAAGCAATGAGTATTAGGATTCGACATTTCAGAAATTTGAGAAACGAAATATTGAAACATAAGCAAACGCAATATCAAACTTTAATTTTCTCTTGGGCTTTAGATTTTAAGCACAGAGCATAACATCACATCGTATTGTATTGTGGAAGACGAGGATAACAACGTCTCGGTGTTGTATTTGTTAAAGCAAGCGATTCCTCAAGGATTCAATCCACATAAGTCACTAAAAAGAGTTTGTTTCAGTGGTCATAACCATTTAGAAAAGAACAGCCGAATTTCGTTTAAAAAGAAGTTCAATCATTCATTTTATAACTAAATCAATTTAAAGTTAAGGGCATGATTGAAAGGGTGACTCACATCTTGAGAAGAGATCTTCAACCAACTAGGTGGAGTTCTCTTGTATGGCAGAGCAGATGCAGAAATACCCTTGCTGCAGAAACGGAAGTACAATAAAAGAAAATGAAGTAAATCACAATAGATAATCATAGGGCTGTTAAGGATAAAAAGAAAACAAATGTGGAAGAAAATACAAACCCTCGGCTGTGCATACGACCCATGGTGCTCCCTCAAGCTCTGCTGCTTCTCCTCTAATCTGTCTTGCTAGCTTAATTGCAATGAGCAAATAAACCCTAGACTCAAAATGGAGGTTTGGGCTAGTGTTTTTATAAGCGGGCTCTTATTTCTTCCCCATTGACGGTCTAGTTTACAAATACTGGATTTCCTCGGCCTCCTTAAGCTATTATATACATGATACATAGGCCGAGAAAGCTTCATTTGCAAAATGAGCCGAGCAAGTTCTTAGTGAATATATAGCAAAAGAAAAAGGGGAAGCTTAGCAATTTAAAAAAAAAAATCGCAAAAGATGACTATGATCCTCAATAATTGAAATTCAATCAAATTATTAAATTTTTTTAGGGTAATCTATGCTAAATACCACGCATCTTTAAGTCAGGGCTCGAAAATACCATCGACGTTTTAATTTTGTCAATTTTAACACGGACGTTTATGTTTCACTACAATTTTGTCACTCCGTCGTTAATCCATTAACGGGACGATGACATTACATTTTTTTCCGTGACGACGATGACATGACACCTTCATCAAAATGATGTCGTTTTGATGTTCAAAAAGCTCAAAACGACATCGTTTTGTTGATGAAAAAATATATTTTTTATGAGATTCAAACCATAGACCTTTAGAATCCAAATCTAAATACCCCACCACAAAACTAACTTAAGAATTTGATATAACCTTAACAAAACTATTATAAATGTTCATCACTACCCTCATTTGGATCCGTTAACGGTAATAACTGTTTTTTCTCTTAAACCTTGACTTGTTCAAGACAACACGTTGTCTCCTCCCTCTGCCTCTCTTTACCGTTCCCTCACAAAAAGAAAAAACATGAACATAAGATAACCCGACACACAATGAAGCAAACACAGCAACAAAAATACATTTCTTCACTGTCAAAAACTACTAAAAATACATTGCCGAAAACATTTCACCAATGCCATTTCTTCACTTGTATATGCTTTCTTTCTTGTTTCTCCTGTTGCCGCCATCGACGATTTCGATACCCGAACGTGAATTGGAATCCTTGTTACTGCTCAAGAAACATTTCACCAATGCCGGCGCTCTCAGTTCTTGGATGCCCTGTTCAGCGCCTTGCAATGGATGAACACACTGGACCGGACTGCTCTGTTACAATGGCGTCGTCATCGGTCTGAACCTCAAAGGGATGGGATTATAGGGGAATATTAAGGTCGACGCCTTAGCCGAGATCAAGGGATTGCGTTCTTTCAGTGTCGTTAATAATTCTTTCCAGGGCGACATTCCGGAACTCAATCGTTTGGTTGAATTGAGGGCCTTGTACTTGTCCGGCAATCAATTTTCCGGCGAAATCCCGCCTTATTATTTTAGTGAAATGGTGTCGTTGAAGAAAGTTTGGTTGTCGAACAACAAGTTCACTAGGAGCATCCCGCTTTCGCTCGGTCAGTTGCCTCGTCTCGTCGAATTACGACTCGAAAACAATCAATTCAGAGGACTTATCCCGGCTTTTTATCGTCCGAATTTGAACTACATCAATTTATTGAACAACAAACTCGTGGGGGACATTCCTTTTCGATTATCGAAATTCAATGAGAGCTCATTCGCAGGGAATCCGAGTCTTTGCGGGAAGAATTTGTGTGTTGAATGTGCCAAACCAGTAGAGAATTCGACCGCATTGAAGACGGATCCAGACGAGGCTGTTATGAAACCTAATAAAAGAAGTTCCCAAAAGTATCTTGCTGCATTCATAGTGTTAGGAATGATGCTAATAACAGTGATTATCTTAGCTGCAATTGGATGGATGAAGAAAAAGAAAAAGGATACCAAATTCTTAAGTTAGCTTGGTGGTTGGGTATTTAGATTTGGATTCTAAAGGTCTATGGTTTGAATCCCATGAAAAACACATTTTTCATCAACAAAACGACGTCGTTTTGAGCTTTTTGAGCATCAAAATGGTCGTGTCAAAACGACGTCGTTTTGACGAGGGTACCATGTCTTCGCCGTCACGGAAAAAAGATGTCATGTCATCGTCCTGTTAACGGATTAACGACGGAGTGGCAAAATTGCAGTGAAACATAAATGTCCGTGCTAAAATTGGCAAAATTGAAACGTCGATGACATTTTCGAGCCCGAGCTTAAAGATGAGTGGTATTTGACATAGATTACCCAAATTTTTAAGAGAAAATAACCTCAGTGACCGAAAATGTCTTATAATATACGATTTTGACCAACTTTTTTTCGATTTGCCAAAATGACCAACAAAATCGCAATGCGATCTCCAGTATCGCAAATCAGTTTCCAGATTCGCAATGCGAATATGTAAATTGCAACGCGATTCTGACTATCGCAATGCGATCTCCAGTATTGCAAATCAGTTTTCAGATTCGCAACGCGATTTTGACTATCGCGTTGCGATTTTAGAAAATCGCAATGCGAATATGTAAATCGCAACGCGATTCTGACTATCGCAACGCGATCTCCAGTTTCGCAACACGACCACGACCACGACCCGGGACGGCAGCGACGGCGGTGCGCGAGAGTCCCCCTTGTTCTCTTCCACTCAACAAGGAAGTGGGAAATCCAAGCCTTAAATACCCATTCCCAATAGTGTTTCCAATACTATGTGGGATTGAGCATTGCAAACACTTGGGAATCTTTTACACTATCGCAACACATTCTTTATTGTTTCAAACTAAGATCTTACAAATGGCTTGGGAATCTTTTACACTATCGCAACACATTTTAACTATCGCAACACATTTTTCAAAATCGCATTGCGAATCTGGATATTCGCGTTGCGAATTTGGAAACCGAGTTGAAAAATTAGAGTTCGCGTTGCGATTTTATTGGTCATTTTGGCAAATCCAAAAAAAATTGGTTGAAATCGTATATTATAAGACATTTTCGGTTACTGAGGTTATTTTCTCAATTTTTAATGGTACTAGAATGATAACATATTTAATATCATTAAATTTAATTAAATAGCCATTATTTGAGTAGATCTTAAAGCATTACGCCTTCATTTTCGAACAATTTAGAAGTATTTGAGATCCAAATTTAAGAATATTTAAAAACATTGGACCTCATTCGACCGTTTTGAAAAACTAAACCCTCATGTGATCATTTAAGCTTTTTATTTGAGTTTCTAAAAAAGATCATAAAACTTTTACATTCGACTACGTGGTATCAATAATAAAAGAGAGTGTTATTCTCTTCGGAGTTTCTGGATTCATGTAATTACATTTATAGGATATGTGCGCATTATTATCTTATAACCGCTCAAAATAAAAAGCTCATTTTAAAGTATCAAGGAAACAAGCCTCACGTTGGAGAAACAGCTCGCAGATAAAAGCCTCAAAAGGGAACAAGTGCAAGAAAGAAATTTCAATGGCGAATGTTTGACGTATAAACTTCCCTCATCCACAAATACCGACCCGAACGCACACTAAACACAGGTGAGCTAACTTGGTCGATGCAAAGGCAAATGCATAAAAAAAAGTTTCAGTTTACCAGATGACAACATATTTGATCTAATCCATCACTTCATGATTCTCAAAACTATCTCCGTCAAGTACAATGTTCAATGACAGAACCCATCACTGCCATCATTGCCAGTGAAACCACTTTAAAGCAACAACAGAAGACTTGAAGATGAATCTAAAGAGAACGACCTTTCAGTTGTATACGGACCAGACCATGAAGGGAAAAAAATCATCAAGGATTGCCAACCATCCCACTATTTGTTAATCTAAATGATTCATCTATCATCGACCATGCAGGATAGCACTACAAGTGTACAAAGCTCAAAAAAGTATAAAGCAAGCAATAACAGGACAACCGTTCCTGAAGTTCAAAAGCCGAGAGACACAATATGTTCGAACAAAAAATAGTTGTCAATTCGAAAATAACTCAATGATACATGTTTCAGAAACCATATGAAGCTCAAAACAAGAAAGGAAGAAAGGAGCAATACCTCTATGCTATTGAATGAAGATGTGGAATTATCAAAGATCTAACATTACTAGAAAAAAATGAAAGAAACAAAAGTTGGACCATTGGCTTTTGTAGGTGTCAAAGTAAAGAATAATACCTAATCTAAAAAGCAAAAGAGCATAGCAAGATTAAGATATCAACATCAACACTTTAATTTTACAAAAGTGCAATAAAGACTTGCATACCCGCAAAAGAAAATTTTCAAACACGACCAAAGGAAAGATCGTATTTATCCAGGTCAATTTTATTCGAATTGCATACCAACGATACATGTCCAACGATCAGCTTATGTTCTATCAGTTCATGAATTCTAAATGCCAAAACTACAACAGTTACATTCCATGAGTCAGAAAAATGAAAAAAGATTTTCCGGTGTTCTTTTGATACAACGTGTGCCTGGCCAACAAACAATGTCCAATTATCACAAAACGTCTTCCAAGTAGGACGCAATATCCTTCCTTATATGGCATCATTAAAGATGTTTGAAACAACGACAATCACCGAATGAACAGGGAAATGTTAAAAACAATGCTAATGAACAGGAATTTGGAGGATCCTACCACAATTCAAAGAATGAATTAACCGGCAGCCTTCTCCCCACCGGAGTAGTAGCTGAGATACCACCTAACAAATTTCTTCAAACCAGTCTGTAAATCAGTTGTGGGCTTATACCCAAGCTCCCTCTGAGCCAAGCTAATATTGGCATGAGTAAACTGAACATCCCCATTTCGTGGCAACTTCATAATATTCCTGTTAGCACCAACTTTCAAAAGCCTTTCCAAGATACTAACAAGATCTGAAACTGGCACGGGCGAAGTATTCCCCAAATTATACACCCTCAACTGAGCCGGACCTTTCTTCTTCCCTCCACTACCAGTACTCTTCTCGGCAGTATCCAGTGCCGCCAAACACCCTTTCACAATGTCATCAATGTAGGTAAAATCCCTAGCCACCGTACCATGATTAGCTGCCTCGAATATCGGTATAGACTTCCCCTTCAAAATATCTCTAGTGAAAAAGAAATAAGCCATATCCGGCCTTCCCCACGGACCATAAACCGTGAAAAACCTCAAACCAGTTAAAGAAAGTCCGTATATATGATTATAAGTATGTGCAATCTCTTCACCAGCCTTCTTAGTAGCAGCATATAAACTAGCAGGCTGATCAGTTCTGTCTCTCTCAGAAAATGGAACTTTGGTATTAAGACCGTAAACAGAACTCGAAGACGCCCACACGATTGCAGGTTGTGGATTTGCTGATTTACAAACTTCTAGTAAACTAACAAGACCAGCAATATTACTATGCACATAAGAGATAGGGTTTTCCATTGCATACCTGACCCCAGCTTGAGCAGCCAAATGCATAACGTGAGTAAACGCAACGACCTCGAAAAGCTTCCTTAAAAGAGCCGAATCGTTGATGTCTCCTTCCACAATGAAAACCCCACTTCGTTCCAGAAGCGCTTGCCGAGCTCTTTTCAGTGAAGGGTCGTAATAGTCGTTGAAATTATCAAGTCCAAGAACACCATCGCCGCGCCTTTTCAAAGTAGTCGATACGTGGGTGCCGACGAAACCGGCAGCTCCAGTAACCAAAACGGATATGCCATTGCGGGAACGGACACGCGCCGAGGAACGGACCCTTTTCTCCCAAGCGGGTCCACCCCAGTTGTACGTACGGAGAGAGCGTCGAGAGGGATCTTGCGGTAGGGGGTTCGATGAAGGAGATCGAAAGAAGAAGATCAAGATCAGGCCCAAGAAGATAAATGACCAAAATGTGAGCTTCGCAAGAGAGGAATGCCACCTCAGCCTGTTGTGAACGAAGGGTGATTTTTCCATCTTGAATTTCCCCGGCGTTGATGGAATGTTGTCAAGATGAGACATTTGCTTCGACATTTCAGAGTTTATTCGGAGAGAAGAAGGAAAAAAGACGTTGAATCTGGATATCTTTTTTTATACTCTATCGGGATTTAGAGAAATGGGTCACCCTACTTCGGTGGCGGCGGCGGCGGAGTTAGTGCCGGAAAGGGAAGTTTTTTTCTTCTTTCTTTCCTTTTTCAGAGGTGGATTTTGGTGGTGGTGGACTTCTCCTCTCGTGCAAGCTCCTATTTTATTTTGTGATGAAAATGGGGAATCTTTGAAAGGAAGGATTTGTTTGTTGGTTGGTTGGTTTTGGTTTTGGTTTCATTAGTTTCCCTTCCAATGGCTCTAAAAATAAAGAGAGATAAAGGTATGATTTTTTTTAATAAAAACAACAACTTTATTTAATTTAATTAATCAAACTTGGTTAAAAATAGGGAGGTTAAAGCATTTTCTTGTTCATCTTCTTCTGTTAATAAGAAAATTAAAGGCAAATAACAGTTTAAAATCAAATGATCAGTGCAATTAACAACTGTAAAATGGGTTTTCTTTTCCAGCATTATGATGTTGATACATGTCCAAGTTTGCAATGAAGGCAAAAGGCAACCAAACTTTCCAAGAAATCTTAGATTTTAATCCATTTTAAGCTAAGGTAGCATCATGTGGGATTGTAGGCTGCAATCCACATTGTTAACTTTTGAAGAAAAAAGCACACTAAGCTTGTTTCAAACAAAGCTTTGCTTTACTTCATCTGCAAGCTCATCAAAATTAAACAAGAGTGAGCTTCAAGGTTCATTATACACCAAACTCTGACCAACAAAGTCCTTATACAATATTGCCCTTCACCTATCATCATCTTCATCCTCCTTGAAAAAACCAGTGGCAATTTCTTTCATGGCTTGTTAAATAAATAAACCGCAGATTGTTCTTTAACTCAGCTGACGCTTTGATCTAGTGTTTTCCCCCCAGATTTATGGACTTTGTTGAACCT